CTGACCTTCCAGCTCTGTCCTGTGGGAGCTCAGCACAGCTGGGAGCGCCAAACCAGGGCTCGGCAACAGCGAGGAGACTCGGTTTGCTGGAAACAGGAGAAAAAGGGGAAGAGCTTCAGGTGTTTTAGTGCTCAGAACTGTCCACCAGCACGGGGGAGCTGTCCCTCTGGGACTGTCCATTTGGGGACAGTCCTTTTGGGACTGTCCCTCTGGGACTGTCCCTCTGGGACTGTCCATTTGGGGACAGTCCTTTTGGGGACTGTCCCTCTGAGACTGTCCATTTGGGATTGTCTCTTTGGGACTGTTTCTTTGGGGAGTGTTTCTTTGGGACTGTCCCTTTGGGGACTGTCCCTCTGGGACTGTCCATTTGGGACTGTCCATTTGGGGACTGTTTCTTTGGGACTGTCCCTTTGGGGACTGTTCTTTTGGGACTGACCCTTTTGGACTCTAATTCTGGGGACTGTCCCTATGGGACTGTCCATTTGGGACTGTTCCCTTGTGGACTGTTCCTTTGGGACTGTCCCTTTCGGACTCTAATTCTGGGGACTGTCCCTCTGGGACTGTCCATTTGGAGCTGTCCATTTGGGACTGTCCCTTTTCTGGGGACTGTTCCTTTGGGACTGTTCCTTTGGGACTCTTTGGGGACTGTCCATTTGGGAACTGTCCCTATGGGACTGTTCCTTTGGGGACTGTTCCTTTGGGACTGTTCCTTTGGGACTCTTTGGGGACTGTCCATTTGGGAACTGTCCCTGTGGGACTGTCTCTTTGGGGACTGTTCCTTTGGGACTGTCCCCGTCCCTGCAGCCCCTTGCCCCGAGCCCTGTCCCAGTGTCACATCGGCTGCTGTGTCTGTGCTGGCCCTGCAGGGGAGGCGATGGAGCAGGGCCTGCGGGACTGCTGCCGCTCCATCCGCATCGGGAAGATCCTGATCCAGAGCGACGAGGAGACGCAGCGAGCCAAGGTGTACTACGCCAAGTTCCCCCCAGACATCTACAGGAGGAAAGTGCTGCTCATGTACCCGATCCTGAGTGAGTGTCAGCGCGGACAGCCGGGCTCCGCCGGGCGCTGAGCGAGAAAACTTCACACTCTGGGGCTCTGCTGGGATTCCTCAGCTGCACCAGTGTGAATGCAGAGCAAATTGTTTGGGTATGGCTACTCTTGGGAGAAAGGATGAGATTAAGACATGATATAAATTTAATTATATGAATTTGACCTTGGGAAAAGACTCAAACAGTGTTTTTCTTATTCTGAGACATTTCTAGATTAATATTATAAGGAGTTTGTTGGGATGAGGTTGCTTGTCCACTCCAAGTTCTGCCATTAGGAGAACAAGGAGTCCATGCAGAGGTGATGCCTTTCCTGTGGGAAAGGACAGAGTCACCATTCAGTCACAACTGTACCAGAGGTATTCTCAGACAGCTTAGGACAAGTTCATCAACCAGGGCAAAACCCCTAAAGCCTCTCCCTGTTTGCCCTCTCAGGTACTGGGAACACGGTCATCGAGGCTGTCAAGGTGCTCGTGGAACACGGGGTGCAGCCCAGCGTCATCATCCTGCTCAGCCTCTTCTCCACCCCTCACGGTGAGTGGGGGCACAGCAGTGAGCACAGCTGGCTGCTGGGGACAGTGCCATCAGTCACACAGGGCACAGAGCTGAGCCTATGGCAGCATCGCTTTGCTCAGAGCAGATTTGGGGTTTTGGCTGAATTGTAAGACTGAGCAAAGAGAGCTGTGTTTATGTGGGCAGTGAGGAGGGGACTGAGTGGCAAAATGCCAAGGGAGAGTGTTCCTCAGAGCAGGAGTTTGCAGCACTGCCAGTTCATGGCTCACAGAGCAGTGCCAGGCCAGCTGCTGTTCTGGACTGTGGAATGTGGGGGTTGGCCCAGCTCCAGAGCAACACCAGGAGTGGGAGCTGAATGGAGCTACAGAACTGGCCTGGCTGCAGGTTAAAGGTGAAAGCAGATCTAAATGAGGAACATTTGCTTCTCTGGGAGGAAAGAGGATCTTGTGTGTTGTGTTAGAAACTGGCCATGGCAGAAATCTCTATCAGAAAACTCAGCTGAACTGCAGAGCAGCCTGTAACCACTTTAATTGGGAGTATGGCTATATGGGAAAGGCAATTCCAAAGAAGAAAACCTAAAAAAAACAATCCCCTGAAGCCAGGCAGTTTTCCTCAGAGATGGTTAGCTAAGGCAGGAGCAGGAAGAGGAGACAAGCACAGAGCCTGACTTACTTTTGGAATGCTGCTGATCACAGTTTGACATGGGCTGAAGCACTGTAGTCATTATTGCCTTTGCTGTCTCTTCCAAGGTGCCAAATCCATCATCCAGGAATTCCCAGACATCACCATTTTAACTACAGAAGTGCATCCTGTTGCACCAACACACTTTGGACAGAAGTATTTTGGGACAGACTGACAGTCTTGGAACAACTGGATATGACTCTATGGCATTACAAGAGGTTTTTTTACATTTTATTACTATTGAGTTGGTCGAGGGCATGTTTAAAAACCTTTTTGGCCAACTAACTTAGGTTAGTGCTGGCCTGAACAGGGATCAGGTACAGTGACAAAGCACTCTGGCTACATGGTCAAGCATCTCCATGTTGGGGCTCTGTAACTGCCACACTCTGCTTTTATTCCTATTTATTCTTCTCCAGCCTGTCCGTGGCCGCCTGCAAGAGCAAAATAAACCCAACTAAACCCCAAGGGAGTGTCCTTCATTTCTAGGGTCACATCACTCCAGCCACAGCCACTCCCAGTGCTTCCAAATCCCAGGGTCCTCCTGAGCAGCCACATGGATTTTTGGTCTTTGGCTGGTAATAAAGATACAACTTTGGAATTTTGCAAACATTATTCTCAAATAGTGAAACAGCCCTGGTTGTCTTGCTCTGGGCTCCTGAATCAGGAAGATTCCTGGTGCAGCAGAGCTGCAAACTGGGTGGGAACTGGGGGTGGGAGCAGCACTGCTTGTGGAAATTCTACACATACAGAACTTGGGAGTTGTATGAGACAAAACTTGTGGCTGGATCAGTCTCACCAACCCTTTAAAAGACAGGAAAACTGCAGCAAAAAGCTGGAACTCGATTTTTAGCCCTGTTCACAGAGCTCCAGAGCCAGAAGACAAGCGTGGCCCTCAGGGCCCAGCAGCCTTTCCAGAGCCTCAGGGCACTCTTTGGGTCACATTAAATCTGCAGCCAAAGCCCTTCTTTCTTTGAATCCCCTGGCATCAAGCACACCATACCCAGCTGGCCAGAACCTGCCCTTACTGGAACTTTGGGGAAATCCATGAACACAATATAAGCCATTATTATTTTTACATGTATCCATATTCTACAGTTGCAGGATTGGGGAATGTTGTCTCCAGTAGTGTCCTTACCTCTCACCAGGTGAGTGGAGTGCTGAGGTCTGGGCTGCCCACACCAAGGAATCTTTTTGTCACAGATAAAGAACGTTCCCTCTTCCAAGCAGTAATTCCAATTAATTAAAGTTGTGTAACACCTCCAGAGAGGAAATGTTTAGCCCGAGCATAGGAAATAACCATTCACAAGTCTAATTCATTAGCCAAAAATGGTTTTAATGCAGTCCTTGCCTGCAGTGCAGTATAAACCATAATAAAAAACAACAAAGCAGAACATACAGGATATTCAGCTGTAGAAACTGTACAAACACTTGGAAAATACCAGTGAAACTCCACAGAGCATCAGTCAGAGCATTGGTCTGACAGTTAAAACTGTACAAACACTTGGAAAATACCAGTGAAACTCCACAGAGCATCAGCATAGTCAGAGCATTGGTCTGACAGTTAAAATGAGTATCCAAGGCTTTTGTAAAAACCCATTTTATATCAAAAGTCTCAATGCCAGCAGCAGCAGCATTAAATTCCTGAACACAACACCCCAAAGGTGGGCAATCCTGGTGTGACATTCCTTGGAAAATAATTACTTCCCATCGAATTAGGGGGAGGGATGTGTATTCAGGCACCCTTCTGACTGGAGCAGCTGCCAGCCCCAGGCCCTGCTGGGCTCCTAAGAAGCAGCTGGAAGCAGTTCCCACTGCAGGGATGGCTGCTGTGTCCCAGTTTGTCAGCTCCATGGGGATGGCTGATCCTGCCCAGAGGGAGCTCCCAAAGGGCTCCCCTGGCCCCAGCAGCCCCTGCAGTGGGGTTCTGCTCCAGCCCCTTTTTCCAGTGTGTGAAACCCCCTGGCTTTCCTGGGCTGACATTAAACCCTCCTGCTAATTACCAACACCATGCTCTGCTGTTTTCTGATCCTGAGATTTAACTCAGTTCTATCCTCTGTACCACAAGCAGCATTTTCAGATGAGGAGCGGCCATCTGAGCAGGCAGATGATAAATTTATAAAATAACAAGACCTTTCCTACTTCTTGTGTTCCTAACCCAAAGTTCCCTGCTCCAGCAATGGATTTGGAATCACTGAGTGGCTCCATGAGTACAGCAGGAAGCCATTCCATAGTGTAGTTAACTCCAAAGAAGGATGGAGTTAAATGAGAACAGAGGAACCACAGCTCCACCTCCTCACCCAGCTCTCAGACACAGCCCTGTCCCTCCCAGGGAAGGTCACCTGCCCCAGCCCAGCAGTTCATGACTGCAGCAGCATTCCAGGTGCTGAGGGAGTTCTGGGACACATCCTGGAGGCTCCCAGATCCTCCAGAACAGGTGTGGGGGGAATAATACACCAACACTTTCACTGTGGGCTTTTTTTACAGAGGGAAGTGCTGAGGAGGGGCTGCACACACCTTCCCCAGGTTAGAAGGGAGAGGGGGAGGCTGATTTTGTTGGGTTTCAGGCTTCCAGTGGGATTTAGTCCAAGGTTTAACCCAAGGAAGTGCTTCAGGAAGTACTGAAACAGCAGGGAAGCTGTCAGGTGAGGTACCTGTGTGTCCCAGGGCTGTCTGGCACCACCACTGCATGCAAGCAGGCATTTCTTTTCAAGCACAGCTGGAATGAGAAGCAGAGATGATCCCTTTGTCCTTTTTGTTGGATTTTTTTTTTTTTGTGGTTGTGGCTTCCCCCCTCCTTAGCATATTTTTTTTAAACAATGGCTGTTACCCACTGAAGTTTTACAAATGCTGCTGGTAAATCTTAAAACCTCATACAGAAAAAAAATAGTATTTTAAGGAGCATGCAGGCATGAGCAACTTACAGGCTTGTATTTGAAATGTAAACTTACATTTTATTTCACAAGGTTTACATCCCAAACGGAAGCTGGAGAATGAAGAAATGAGGCTTTTAGGAAAGAGAAAATGCAGGAAGTGGGATCCTGCTCTAAGCAAAGCCAGCTGGGCCTGATGATGGGAACCACAAACCAATACCTGACAAACAGAGATTAATTACAAATAAAACATGGCACAACTGCATAAAATGACACCTACTCACCTTCACAGTATCCAAAAAACCAGCACAAGCAGCTCACAGCTGAAAATATTAAACTGTATGTTCAGGAGGAAGAGGGAAGACTCAAAGTGGGATGGGAAAAGGACAAGAGACTAAAACCCTGCAGCAGTGGGTGTGAGCTCAGTGCCTGTGACCAGGGCAGGAATGCAGCACTGGGCAGGAAGAGCCCATGGCAGAGCCAGGACAGGGTCTGCCAGGCCAGAGCCCCTCTGCCATGCAAACACCTTCAGTCATCTGAATGATCTGATCAGTTCAGAGTCAGTTTAGGTTTGCAAGAGTTCTGCAATAAAGCAGAAGCTGATAGAATTGGAAAAATATCAATAAAATTGAGGTATTTTCAAGTACTATGGATCCATTTCAGAAATCTGTACCACAGGAGTCACAGAAATGAAAACGTGACCCTTTTGAGTTAATTAGTTCTGGCTTAATAAACAAGGTCAGTAGTGGCTCCTTTCCCCTGCTAATTAAACCCTTCCATGAGTGCCTCAGCTCTGCACAGAGCAACTGCTCAGCAGAGTAACTCTGCACAGAGTAACTGCTCAGTACATCATTCTTCATAGCTAAATTCAGGGGAAAAACAGTAATTTCTTTTTCCCCTTTATATTTTACATTCATATCACATGACAGACTTTATGCATCAAGTTGTGCTTTCAGTCCAGACCAGCATCTAGAAGTACAGAGCTGCAGCTGGTGTGGATTCTGCTGAATCCACTCCTGTTTGTCCCAGGAAGCAAACATTCATTGCATAGTGTGATTTGGAAGCTTCCTGATTCTCACCAGTGACTGCACCCCACACACACACTGGGTACAGCCTCCTCAAACATACAGAATGCTCCCTGCTTGAAGGAAAACAAGATTATCCTACTCCAAAAACTTCCAACTCAGCAAGAGAAACCTGGCAGCGCAGTGGGGGTTGCACAGTCCTGGTTCCTTGGGCAGGACTTGCTGGCCCAGGGCTGGATAAGGACAATTGCACAGAGAAACATCAATGTGATGCTCTGTCTGGGTTTTTGGACCTGAATGTAAATGGGACAGAAGGGGGGGAGGTGGGCAGGTGGCTGTTAGTGGTCAGTTATTTCAGAGGATGAATCCAGGAGCACAGGGATAACAATGGAGGCATCACAGTAAAGTCCAACAAAAGAGTTCCCTCCTTTCCATGGTGACATCACTTGGAAAAGTTGCTCCAAGCTGAGAAAGCTGTAGTGTAGATCCAGTGCTAAGCAGAGAAAGCAGCCCCTGGAGGGGGTGAGACAGTTCCCTTGCTGCCTCCACAGTGGAACACCTCCAGCAGCCCCTGCAGCCACACAACTGACAGCAGAACTGGGACTGGAACCTTGACAGCTCTCCAGGTTCCCTGAATGGACTGCACCTACAGCACACACCCAGAGTGACAGTGAGCACTGCTGGGGTGCTCCTGGCACTCAGGGTGCACCTGGAATGCTGGGCCACCAGCACAGGCAGTGTGAGATACACCCAGGATGAGCTGGGATCACTGGCCAGCTCCCAGAGCTGCAGTGTCCTTGCTGTTGATGGGACTTGGGGGATGAGTGCCACTCCTGGAATGCTGGGATGGAGAGTGCAGGCAGGGCAGGTGGGGGAGAGGTTTGGTGATACAGCCCTTACAATCAGTGATGATGGTGGAGAGCCTCTGGATGAGGATCAGGGCATGGAAAACAAAGGAGGTGCTGCAGTGGGCTGCAGTCAGAGCCCCTGAAGGGCCACTTGCAGGTTAAAAAAACCTATCACACACTGGGCTGAATATTCTCTTTTGTCACCTGCAGCCTGAGGAACTGTTTTCCAGTGCATTTACTCAGCATAAAAAGGACAAAGGCCAGGGGTAAAATAAGGATATCACCTTCAGTGAGCAGAAGGGAACAAAATGGAGCTGCTCACTCAGACATGTGGGTTTTTCCCATTTTGTTCTGCCTCACTTTACACAACTTTGGGTTTCTTTCACATTTCATTAAGCTTTCCAGCATCTGATGTGTGGATATTAAGAAGTGGCTCTGAAGTGATAACTTTGTGTTGTTTCTACCTGGACAAGTTTGTTACAACCACGGGAGGCTGAGCTGCTTTGAAGGAAAGGGAAGAGATAACCATAATTAATTACAAGAAAAGTGACTAAATAAAAGTTACTTGGAAATATGTAAATCCCTTTCTCAATCTGAGCTTGGAACCAGTGCCATCATAAAGATATCTGCCTTAGTATTAGAAGACAAAACCTGATTTTCTGTACTCCCCAATGAGCAGTGCAGCAGCAGGAGCAGGCAGGGGAGCTCCTGCACAGCTCTGCTGCTGCTGCCTGGCACAGGAACAACTCAAATAAAGGCAGGGCTGTAACCAGAGCCAAACCCAGGAGGGGGACAAGGACCTGCTCAGAAAACTCCTGTAAATCCACACAAGCTCTGTAAATTCACACCAAAAAACCTTCCTGTAAATCCACACAAACACTTCAGCTGGCAGGATGAAACAGAAAGTCACCAAATCACCTTCCTGGTTTTATAGACAAGGAATTTAAAGTTTTTAAAGGCACAAATAGCACCTCTGCAGGTGCTAAATTCTGGCTGTGTTTAGCTGCCATCATCCTCTCACGCTCCCCCTCCAGAGCACATTTTGCCAGGAATGAGGGGATTAATTCAGCTGCCACCCTGCATCACACACAGCACAAGGTCCAACACCAGATTTGCATTAGAAATGCAGCTTTAGATTGACAGGAAAAACCCTTCCAGCACTCAGCAGCCATGTGGTGGCAGAGCCACTCAACAGATGGGGCTCAGGTGGCTGAAGCAGGAACATTTTCAGTGTTCAGGGCCACCCTGAGGAGAGACACAAACCCACAGGAGCCTGGGCCAGCCCACCCTGGCCCCTCACAGCCAAATGCAGCAGTGAGACATCGCAGGGAGGTCAGCACTGCCTGCTCCACACAGACTGCAGAGGCTGAGGGACAAAATTCCTGCCCACAGGGCACGGATCAGCCAGAAGTGAGACACCTTCTCTTAGGGAAGGAACCTCTGCAAGGCTCTCCTGGCTCACAAACACATTCCCTGTGGCAGCAGCAGCAGAGGAACAGAGGAAAAAGGGGTTTAGTCTGTAGGCAAAACCTCCACCTCCAAATTCAGCTCCTTTCTGCTGGCATTCACAGCTGCTCCTGTAGTCACTGCCAACACCAGTGGGCTGATAAACACAAAAATGGGATAGAAAATGGTACTAAATGATCTTAGAGGCAGTACACCAATACTTTTAGCATGCACCTAATTCAAACAAGAATGATGGACTGGGCTGAATCATGCAGATTAAAAAAAAAAGGACTCAGGTCTAGAAAAATATCCATAATCCAGCCAGCCACGTCTCAGTTCCACTCCCCAGAACAAAAACAGGGATACACCTCTTTGACTGTAAATGCAGCAAAATGCAGAAACAAATCTGATCACCTCTTGTGCAGAAACCCCTGAAGCCAGTCAGTGCACTGAGCTGGGAAGAAGTCTGAAAAATTCAATTGTGTCTTCAGCAATTTGGGGTTCAAGCCACCCCTGTGGAGTGCAAACTCCAAACACGACTCTTGGAGCCAAACTTTCAGTGCATGTTTTGAATTCACATCTTCCTTTCTGACTCCATGAACACACAAATCTCCATCAAACACTGATCCAGGAATGAGATGATATTTTAACCCTAGGAATTAATGCAAACTGGACTGTCTGAAGTTCCCTTTTGCATTTTAGGAGCCTGCAAGTAGGATGCAAGAGCACTATAACCCAAACTCAAGGAAAATAACACCCCTAAAAATGTTTTAAAGAACCTATGGCCACAATATTCTTGAATCTTGATACTGGCAATGTGAAATTTTATTTTCACTCACAGCTGCACATGTACATGTGCATGTTCAGCACTTTTGCTTTCAACACTCTCACATTCAGCTACCAATTTAGTGCCAGCTTTAACTGGGTCTGTCTTGCATTGAGCTGAACTCAGAATTTAAATACATTAGAAAATGCCACTTGTCAGAGAAGGTTGGAGAATCAGCCTCAAAATAAATAACCATCCCCAAGAATATTATGGCTTGGAAGAATTTCAAGAGCTTGAGTCCCTGATGTTTGCAAAATGAAAAGGCCTTCGGAAACACACTCGCATCAACATTTTTACCCATTCTGAATAAAAAATATAGAGTATTTATAAAATAAAGAGAGCAGGCCAAAGAAGATTGGCCACAATCACTCTGTAAAATTGTTCTGTTAACTCTGTAACTTAAATTTATAAAGCCTTGGGACATCTGGACAGCAGGATTCCTGGAGAACACTCTGGAATGCAGATTCCCATCAGACAATACTTCAGGATGTTTTCTCATCTTGAAGATCCACCTGTTTTCTGCCCCTCAAAACTGAAGTCCTTGCCAAGAGAAGGGATGTTGGCTCCTGAGAGGGAAGCTGAAATTTAAAGAAATACAATTGTGCAACCACAGCAGTGCTGTTAGGAGGGACTGAGGGCTGATCTGGGCTTTGGGAGTCGTTTTAAAGCCATGAAGAACAACAGGAAAATGCTGATTTTGCCTGCCCTGCTGGGATGGCAGGATGCAGCCCTCAGTGCTGACAGAAAAACACTCTGGGGTTTCTCTTAGTGGGACAAGGCAGACTCCTACAGGGTGCCCACAGCCAGCAGTGTGGAGGGGCCCTGTCTGCCAGGGGAGCCAGGCAGGGGCTGCAGTGCTCTGCCCCCAGTTCCTGACTGCCTTGGCACTGAGAGGGGCAAACTGCACCTGGCAACTGCACCTCTGCAGTGGGACAGCAGGGGATGCTGCTGCAGTCTGGGTCAGGTCATCCCCCTGGGACAACAGGACACTGTGCCCTCCTCACTGCCTGCAGCTCCTGGGGCAGGGTGTGTGTGGAGCATCTCCCCCGTTCTCCAAGTCAGAGCAGGGAATGTTCTGGAAGCAGCACCTGCCCCAGCTGGTGTCAGCTCTTGTGGGACCTGCCTTTCCCAGGGGGAGAGAAAGCCTGGAGAAGAGTGACAGCTGATGTGACATCACAAGGCACCTCCCTGCATCCCCAGCTGCAGCTTGGCTGTGCTCAGCTTCAGTTCAACAGCTCACCTGCCCTTCCCACACCTCCCATGATCCCAGAATTTCCATCTTGCCACTGTCCATGTTTTCCAGAGGAGCTGCAGGGTCGGTGTCCTGCCCTTCACAGAGTGCTGGTGGCTCTGGTGTCACCTGTGCCACACCCAGCCCAGGGCCTCTGAGAGCCTCTGCTTCCCTTCAGGGCCCCTTGAACAAGGGATTTCTGGGCAAGCTGGAGAAATATTTTTCTGCTAAAGCCCAAACCTTTTCAACATCACCTCCCCACTCCCTGCAGAGCACTGATTTGAGGGAAATAAAGAAAGGAATACCTTTCTGATCCAGCTTTACACCACTGTTTTCACACTGCTATGTCTCCCTTTCTATGGCAAGGGATGAAGCTTCACCAGAACCTGTGAAAAGCAAAGCAGTTAGAGGCAAATAAATCTGGTTTTCTCACTGAGAATACATATTTCACTAAGCATGGGGTTGTGTTTTTATGGATAATTACAAACAAAAATAGACAAGCACTTGTCAGAGAGAACTGAACAGCTGTTTTAAACTGAGATTACTCTATTATTGGCTTTATTTATTTCATAACCAAGTCACAAGCTTTAAAGCCACAAAGACAAATAAAGGTCTTGCAGTTTTAATGGAACATTTCAGGTCTTTCTAGTTAGACATTTTTACTGGCTTACCTCTGTTGTGTAAGTGAGAATCTGAATATTTCAGCTGAAAGGACCCACAGTGATCATCCAGTTCAACTGCCTGGAAATGTCAGTTATTTTATAAGCTCTATAAATTGGAAGACTTCATATAAGCTCCAGACCATAGTCTGGGGTCTGATCTAGCCAAAAATCACCTCACTGCCACTGTTTTCATATGGAAGAATTAATTATTGATTCAGAGAATTTGAAGTTCGTAAAAATTGGAAGAAGCTCTGACTCATTCCTACAAGAGTTATTTTAAACATCATTAAAAATTCACAGAAATGCCATAGTTTGCTATTTTTAAAGCATATTTTGTTGGTTTTAAAACTCATTTGTGTTACCTTGTGTAAGTACCAAAATGTATAGAACCAACCAGGGAGAGGAGGTAAATTTACTCTGGAAATAAAGCTGGACAAAGTATATATAAAGCAGCTTCCTAAACTGCAGTATCCCTGAACTCCTGTGTTTGCATGCCTGATTTCACACACTGGCACAGGATAAATACACTTTAAAAAATCTAAACATTCTCCTTCTTGCAGGCACACTTTACATCCCAAATAACTGGGCTGCAAGCAGCAACATTTACATGTAAACACTCTCAGTTTGTGGCAACTTAATTTTCTCTAACCCTTGAAACACCTTTTAAGTTCATTCACCTGCAAGTAGAAAGTTATTAAAAAAAAAGAAAGAACTGTTTCCAAAGCAGAGCTTATTTTTAGTCTGTGCTCATTAATCAAGTCCCAGCTGCCCAGAGATTTAACCAACACAGTTTTTTTTATTTTATTAGCTCTTATAGTTTATTTATTGGCCACTGTAGGTCAGGACAACTAATTTCATTAATTCCTTACCCTGAGGCTCTTCATCTATTCCATCCTCTTCCCACTGCTCCTCATTTGTCAGGAGAGGGTTCCGAGCTTCACTCAAGGTTCTCATTGGGAAGAAATGTCCATCCCCCTGGCTGCAAGGGAAAAGGCAGAGAGGGACACTGCAAAAGCAGCAGGTGACTCTAAAAGATGACCATTTCTCTACATTTTTTCTGTTGCCAGTATTTTCCACGTTTATTTAAAATCATCTTTAAGCTTGCAAAGCACCATGTCTTATCTTTCTTTTTGGTTCTCCATTTTTTCAAGGTCTCTGGAGTACAAAAGTTGAAACTTGTGGCCTGGAATCCAGTAATTTTTAGCAGAAGGTAAATGTGCTAATTTGAGCAAGCAATTTGAACACAGAAAAAAAGCCCTGGAAAAATGTGGGCAGTTAGAAGTGACAGAGGAACTAAGGAAAACATTTACGAAAACTAAGCAAACAGGTATAAATTTTATCAATTTATCCCACAGATTCTTCAGGGCAGAAATCTCACTTGTGTTTGAGTGACACCCAACAGAAAATGGTCCCACTCTCACTGAAAGACACATAAAACCCTCACTTTCCTGTGACCTAAGCCTGTACACAAAATGTGAAAAACTGTAATTATATCAGCTTTTAGCAGGGTTACTTACCTAGAGGCAATAGGCAGCAACCAGAGCTTTTTTTCTTCCCCAAACACTTGCTGGAGATTCTTCACAAAGCCAAGATTGAATCCATTTTTATCTGGGCCATTTTGAAACACTGGAGCTGAGAAAGCCTCTGCAAACAGAGGCAATTTCAGTGGAAAAAAAATGAAAATCAATGGCAAACACTCTGAAACAAGGTTGTGCATCTTGTAACCATCTAAAGCCAACGTGATGTAACAGATTATAGAGATACAGCACTACAGAGTTTCAAAATAATGATTTTCCCATTTTGCACAGCCTGTAAAGACTTTCCAGCTGAAGGCAGGAATTTGGTTGTGCAATTGAACCTAGAGAACAGTCAAACCAACCCACAATGGGTTGTTTCATCCAGAGAATGGAGTGAAAAGATTTTCCTGTGGGACTTGATGAAATTCAGAGGGTAAAGGATTCTAAGTAAAAAACTCTGCAGGATGAAGTGGGTTGGTGTTCAGTGCATATTCCAGAAGTGGCACTGCAGATTTCAATCACCTCATTCGTTAATGTTAGAATGAACAAGCACCAGGGACAAACAAATGCAAATATACTCTGGGTTCTGCTGGGGCATAAAATTAAGAAAAGAAAGGAGAGAAGAACCTTGAGTGCCTTAGGAACAGCTTGATCTCCCCTCTCAGCTGCTGCACAGGTCTGATGTTTTGGGATAGATGAGCTTCAGTGCCCCATGAAATGACTTTTGAAGTAAATCACTTGATAAAATCAGAATATTTGCTCTCTCTTGAGAGTGTCTGTTTTGTTACAAAACTTTATCCCAAAAGCTTTGTAAGTTGAACATTTATCTGAGGACAAGCAAAGAAACTTTGGCAAAATGATACTATTTTAGACTATAATTTCTTTAATTTTACAGTCACAACTTCTGTGCCTTTATCAGTAAAGATGGACACTGTGTTTCCCAAGCTCACCAAGCTGATTGGGGAGCACCTCAGTACAGGAATAAGCCATTATTCCTGAAAAGCTGCACTCATTTCACAGCAAATGCAGTTTTACATATGCTTAACACTTTTATAATTGGACTTCTACACTCTAAGGCTCTGCTTTCCCTAAAAAAGCTTTTGTCACACCAGCTAATAAATGCAGCTCTTTTGCAGAGACCAATTTCTGCAGCTTGTACCAAGACCTTAAATCTTCCTCCCCTCATACACCAGCAGGAATGTACAGAAATAGAACAAATGCCTTCTTTTCTTCTCTTTTTTTCTTCTTACAGCACCTTTGGTGTCTTACTAGAAGGAAGAGACAGAGAGCCTTACCTAGAGTGGATCTGTTCCTGCTGACGAGCCAGCAGTGGTAGCCAAACAGAAACATGAGGCTCACAAAGAACATGACTGCCACAAAGAGAAGGAAAAGGATGTGAAATTTGGAACGTCCATTGGTCAGCTCACCCTGGAAAGGAAAGCAACACAGAACAAGTGATGGGAACAAATTAAAGATGGAAATTATTTGTACTTAGACATATAACTCTAAAACTCTTATTGTGAGTTCTCAAACTTTTACAGACAAAGTGAATATTATATATAAAGCAAAAAGAGACAAAGAAATGAATGTGGTTCATTTCCCCTCCTGTACCACAGCACAAAGAGTAGGGGGTGTCATTAACCCTTGGTATGGCTCCGAGCCAGCCCACCACAGCTGCCAGGTGGGCATGAACACCCTGTGCCCGTGGGAAATGAGCAGGCAGAAGCTCTTGAAGCCCTGTTTAAGTTCTGCTGAGTTTCCTGTGCACACATTAAAATTCTGCACCTTGCTCAAGGTAAGCCCAGAGAAACCTGCCCTCCACATCTGCAGCTACTGGGGAGTGTTAGAAATGAGCACAGATGGATGGGGAAAGTCTAAAAGCCAAGTGGGACATTCCAAGGAGAAGAAAGGCTCCTTTCCCTCTGCAGCAGGACGTGCCAGAGGTGCCCAGCAGGGACACAGGCAGGCTCTGGGGACCTCCTGGGCTCAGGGCTGTGCCTTGCTGAGTGTGGGGAACAATTAGTGCACAGCAAAGGTACTTAAACACAAACAGACACAGTTACTGAGCAGAGGGGACAGAAATAGAGACCAAGGGCCAGTGTCTTGCAGGAGCTGTCAGCTGGCCTTGCTTGCATAGAAGCAATCAGCAGTAACTGAATAAAAGCCTCCTCTGGGTCACTGGTTGTAAATTGAGGAAGGAGGCCTATGGGGGTTAGAACCCCGGCCCTGCCCTGCCCCGGCCCTGCCCCGGCTCTGCCTGCACTGCGCGCGCCGGGACAGCCCCCGAAATCTGCATAAAAGCCTCCTTTGGGTCGCTGTTTTTAAATTGAGAAAGGAGGCCTATGGGAGTTAGAAAATGAACAAGGGATTTCGACCCGATTTTTCTCTTCCGTAAAAATATGTACAAATGATTGCCAGGACCTTACACATCATGAACAAGGGATTTCAACCCAATTTTTTATTTTCATAGTAAAATATGTACAAATCACTGCCAGGACCTTACACATCGAAGCCAAACTTTCAAAGGGACACCCATGCAAACACAAGGACAGGGAAGGGATAGAGCCCCTCTGCCAGAAAAAAATCTACAGTCTGAAGTTCCTTGCTTCTTGCTCTGTGCATTTTGGACATCTAACAGGAGGTGGACTCCCAAAGGGCCCAGGAAACACCTCCCAGGAAAATGCAGCCCCTCCAGTGCCTGACAGCAACAAAAGCACCAAGAGTCACTAAAGCCCACGAGACTGACAGGAGATGAAAAAGTAACCGGATTTCATGACTTACTGTCCAATACTTAATGAAATACTTGAAGACTGTTGCAGCAATATACAAGCAATACAACAAAGAATAGGCTAAGAACAGTAGAAAGAATTTGTAGTTAGAAAATCCAATGCAGTTATTCACCCTGGAGGACAAAAGCAAAGTTGAAATCAGGATTGGTGCAGCACACGGTGGTTGTAACACACAGAGCACGATGGCTTTGGGGGCTTTGAAACCCCTGATCACACAACCCCGTCTGCCAAGGAGCAGCTCCCCTTGGTGGCCGAAAGGGAACAGAACCGATGGCTCTGCTCCTCCCTCCAACCCTTCCTGCGGGCCGAGGAGAAGCGCAGTTCAGATTTTTGGAATTGTTTCAAGGCTGGTACCACAGGTGAGTGGGTCACAGAGGCAGCAGCTCGTTCCTCCTGTCTGGCTCTTGTCTGCCAAGGAAATCAGAGCCGGGAGTTCTGTGCTGCTTTACTCCCCTGCAAACCTCAGGAGCCACCTCACCCCTGCTGTTTGTTTACACACAGCCCAGTTAACCCCACTCCTGGTTAGAATTCTCCATGCACAGGACAACTCCAGAAAGGAACACGGGGATGTACAGAAACCCCAGTGGGTGTTTGTGTCAGAACTCAGGTTTGGAAAATCCTCTCCAATTTTGATCACCACGAAGGTTCAGGTAGGGAAATGTTTGTGTTGCTTCTGAATTCTTAAATCTTCCTTTTTTTTTTTTTCCAAAAAAGGAAGAGTTTAAGAAATTTAGTGGCAGCAACTCTGAAAGGTGAAAGCTCAATTATTCCATGCAGCTTTCTGCAGACTGTCTCTGACCAGCATCAGTTCAGAAACAATCCACGTGCAAATGTTGTTATAGGAAACACCCCAAGTGCAGCTGAAACACTGAGAGAGCCCAAAGGAAAGGCTAAGCTGGAGTTCCTTCCAAATTTAAATAATAGTTAATGAGTGAATTAGCAGTTGGGGTTTAAATTTTATCAGTGTAATAGCATTCTTACACATGGGTTATGGAGTGAACATGAATGTTTTGTTAAGATTTAATTTCAAGCAATTTCAAAGTGCAATTATTTTATAAGTTTCCCAAACTAAAGAGATGGATGGCCTAAAATGTGAGAGGAATACAGACATGAGGGGTTTACAGAAATATATCTAAGTAACCTTTCCTTTCAGAAAACCACAAACCAGTATCTAGGACATACCATGGACAGTGATGATCCATTTTTAGCACACACCTGCAAAAGGACAAAAAAGAAAAATGGAAGATTTTTAATTGGTACTTCATTACCAACTGCAGATCAACAGCAAAACTTTTATTTTTGTGAGGTTTCTACACAACAGATGCTTAAAATTATACTGTCTCTAAGTTTTTAAAGGTAGATATAATTTTAAGATTATACATTTCTTAGTGTTTGAAGACCAACCAATGTCCTTTGGTCCTTGTGTAGAGATATGAGAATGATTTCTGCCCTAGAGCTGCAGAGCTGCAGCTGTGACAGAGACCCTGGGGAATCTTTTTGTGTAAAAAGACACAGGAAGGAGCAGCCCACTCCCAAAGCCTTGTGGTGACTGCACTTGGGTGAAGGGCAACCCATGACTTACATGGCACAAACAGAGCAATGGTGACAACGGTCAGGTTTGATCAGCTGGCATCTGTCACAGAACCGAATCCCTGGAATCAGAGACAAATGAACACAAAACTATGAAAAATGGCTCTTTTTTCACGTGCTAGTTGATACTGTGCTCATTTCCTAACTATTCTTCTTTTCTCTGTCACTTCAGCAGGTGACCTGGTGTTTGCTGCAGGTCACAATCAGGTAAGCAACACTCATAATTCTGATGAAGACTCACAGATGGGGCAACAATCAGTGAAAGCATAAAATCCTAGAACCATGGAATGCTTTGGATTGGCAGGAACTCTAAAGTTCATCTCATTTCACCCCCTGCCATGGGCAGGGACACCTCCCACTGTCCCAGGCTGCTCCAAGCCCTGTCCAGCCTGGCCTTGGACACTTGCAGGGATCCAGGGGCAGCCACAGCTCCTCTTTGGACCTGAGCCAGGCCTCGCCACCCTCACAGGAAGGAATTCCTTCCTAACATCTATCCCAAACCTCCTCTAACCCATGCAGCCAGCTCAAAGGTGACAAACCAAAGTTGCACACTTGCCTCCACATTTACTCAGACTACCTACACTTCATTTTGATAATTCCCTATTTATTCCAGTTCTCTGCTTCAAAATTCTTTGGCTTGCCTGACAGAAATGAACAGGTCAGAGCCTCCAATATGAACACAGATTTCTTTAAGCTGTGAAGGGAGTGCAGCAGGCATTTAATCACTGAACACAGTCCAGAAAACTGGTCACAGAAATATGTCCTGCATCCCTAAGCCAGACTCCATTTTAGCAAAAATTACGACACATTAAATTATTCTATTGCTATTTCTAAATGCAGACAGCACATGTGGGCTGTTGGACTGTAAATGCAAAGGGTAACATCTTGCTCCTCAAAGGCAGCACCTGCTACTGCACTGAATTAGAGGGTTCAATGCCTTTTTTGTTTTCCCTGTGAGCACGGCAGAGGAGAGCAGGAGTCAGTGGGTGCCTGGGAGTGCTGCTGGTCAGCAGGATCCCCTGGTGCCAGCCTGTGCTGCTGGGGTGTGTGGTGGATGTGGGCTGACCTCCGTTGCCTGTCCTGGTGTACACCGGCAGCTTCCTGGCGATCTCGGCGAGGATCTGCCGCTGCACCTCGGGCCTCTCCTCGCTCTCGTAGCGCTCCTGGTCAGCGTAGGACATGTGGAACTGCAAGCAGAGGGCAGCAGGGAGCTCTCACCCGGGGCAGCACGGAGCCTGCCCAGTACAGGTGAGCTTGGACACGTTTTTACCTCCCATCCTGAGATTAATGCAGTGGGAAAATGTGGTTGTTAAGAAGACAAAGGGAGGCAGTGAGTGCTGGAGAGCCAGGATACTGAGAGACACGGCAAGAAGAAATGAAAAAGTGAAATTAAGGCTCATAAAACAACTTATTAGAATTGCTCCTATTGCTGCCCTAGATGAATACCATTACTCACTTTTGTAATACATTCAGCACCTCTCCAGTGAGCAAGAACCTTTATATTTTTAAATTTTTAAAACTGGGATTAGCTGTTATTTATAAATTTACATTCTTGTAATCAGGATCAGAGCAAGGCTGAGTATATTTGGAGTGCACAAATACTGAGCTCATTTTGTTGCTTCAATCTGAGTGCTTTATTAGTATTTCATAGAGAGGTAAAACAAAATGTGAAAAAAAAAATTAAATCTACTTATCCAAGCAACATGACAAAGTAAATATTTGGTTGAAAATAACTAAAACACATTTGCCTCTGACTGTCCTCTTCAGATCAACTAGACTGAAGGATATTTGAGTTCTCTTTAACATCTGTGCTTTTGTTCTGCAAGGAATGAAAGGTGTTGGCTCTCTTACCTTTTTGCCTGGTGGTATTGGGAGAGTGAAAACAGACTTCCAGTATGTCCACACAAAGAGCACAAAGAGAATATGGAATACTACAAGATAGGCCACTAAAAACAAAACAAGAAAAGAAAAAAACAGAGTAATGACTTCTTAAGCAAAGGTTTCATCCACAATGGGCATAATTCAAATTTTTCACAACAATGTCAAAAAAAAAAGAAGGGAAAAGACAGATGTCCATCCAGTGCCACCCATTATTGCAGTCCAGCCAAAATTCATGGCTGAGTGTCAGCAGCATCCAGAGCTCAGTCTCAGATCCTCCCCTGCTCCCATTCTGTGGGAGAGGAAGATACAGCTGTCAGAGAATTGTCCCACAGGGCAGGTGACAACCTTTATCCCTGGGAATGACAGGATTCCTGTCTCTTCCCCACATCCCAGGCACCAGCCCAGCAGAACTGGCAGCTGCTGAGCACTGTAAGGGTGAATTTTGCACCTCCCAGCATTGGGGTTCAGTTGTTACTAAAAGCAGTGGGAAGCAGAGTGTGCACTGTCCATCCCTGCACCATGTTCTTCTTGTGAGAGCAGAGAGAAATAATATGAGCTTTACATCACCAGAAAAAGCCAAATGCCTTATTAAACAGCTTTTACATTTGCCACAATTGGTACAATAAATCAGGAAAACTTCCCTCAAATTGATCAAAATAGGGCTGAGGAAGAATTGCAAACCAGCCCATGTCAGAACAGTCGGTTCTATGTGCAAACCTGATTCCAGAGCCTTTGGCATTAGCAGGCATTCCATGGACAGGGAGCCAAAGGAGCTGTCCTTCAGCTCCACAGGCTATTTGCCATTTCTTTAACACTCAACTCATTAAGACATTATCAAAGTTACAAGATGGTTTTATTTAAACACATCATTTCATTGCAGTAACAATCTTGTTTCCCCATTTCATTTAAGCTTCAAATTCTAAAAAATAAGCTTAAAATAACTAGTTGGAAAGTGAAATCTAAAATTCAAACACTTCTTAACTATGTCAAAACACTTCTTTTCCTGTGTGAAAATTGGTAAAAAAGGCCAAATGCATCAGTGAGACTTTCTAATGAGACAGCAAATGATGGGACACATCTCACAAGGATGTGATGGACTGTGGGAAGGAGCTGTGAATCACAGCTAAGTCATTCTCATGCTCCAAGCTGGTTTGAGATGTTATCCTCACACTACAGGTGGAGCTGAGCCATTTTTAATTAATATGGAGGGAGATAAATCTTGCAACAGGTTTAATTTTGTTGATCAGCCTAGCAGCACATTAGAGGAAGCTGACCTGGAGATGCACTAACAGATTAGGCAACAATTAACTTTCTTCTGCAGAGCAGTCATTAACATCCTGCTTTCTGCAGTCTCTCTGTAGCAATTTCAAACATCAGAACTGCTCTACAGGGGAAAGAGAATTTACTGGATGAAGCAATCTGCAGGATCTTTAAATGTCAGCTATGCTCTGCATGGAACAGCTTACACTACACCTACTTCTGTCCTTCATAACCCCTGAAGGAGGAAGTCACCAGGAGAACACCTGGATTAGCCAAAAGCATCCAAAGCACCTCCAGGAAAGAAGGAGAAAAATATTAAAATATCCACTGACTCCTTATTCTTAGAACATGGCCATTACCTCCACCAACACACCGGTCTGAAGAGTGTCATTGAGCCATCCTACTGTGCTGTGACTCAGGAGCTGTTAGTGGGCACCAGAACTGAGAGAAAACTTAGCAAAAATAGCTCTCACTGAAAGATCAAACGGAACAGCAAAAAAAGCCAGGTGGGCTGCAGATGGGAACTAGTATTTTCTGTTTGGCTTGTAAAAACAGCTCTGGAAATGTGAAGGGGAAAGGGAGAAGAGGGGTGTGGGTGTGCACAGAAACACACAGCTTTTCCTGGAAGAGTCAGAGGGATCAGAGCCTTTCCATGCTCTGCCCAGACTGTGACTAGACAGAGCATGTCCCAGAGCACCCAGGAGGTGCAGCATGCTGAGTTCCTCAGGAGGGTGCACTTACAGGAAGGAGACACTGAAAGAGGATGTACCTTTAAAAAAATGACAGCAAATATTTCTGATGTATCAGCCAGAACATTTGTGAGTCCTTTTCCAGGAAGACTGCATGGCAAATAATAAATTATCACGTACCTTTCTCCACAGGGTTGCTCACAGTCACTGGAAAAGAAAAAAAACATGTGTCCACAGAGGAAATATGAATCCCAGAGAAGTTTGTGACAATTAACATTTCTATGTGAAATACAGCCATTTGAGGAAAAATGTTCAAATTCAAGAGGCAAAGAGAGAGCCCACAGCTCAGCATCACACCAAGAGCATCCCTAACAACTCTTCTTCACTCACGCACACACCCACAGCAAGATGTTCACTCACTCTTACTTGTGCTGTGTTCTCCCTGCTTATAAAATGTGTCCTGTATATTTTGCATTAGGAATATGATAAAAGCAATCCTCTGGTGATGGTGAGGAGATCACCAGGGCTCCTCTAGCACCTGTATCTCTGCATTTACCACATACATGCAGCTGCTTTCTACTGGTCTCCAGGTGGCCTTGACCCTCCACTGTAAGCACTGTCCCAAAGCATTTCTGCATCAGCAGGATTAAAAAGTTATAAATTTCCCAGCTTGGGCCAAGTCAGCAATTGCAGTGACTGCATTGTTTTTACACACCCACCAGCAGAAATTTTACAACCCCTTCTTACTCCACCACAATGAGAGAAAAGCCCCTACTAACAGAAGCCCTCTGAGCAAGCAGCAAAAGGTGCATTGCTCAATGTAGTGACTATTTGAAAATCTATCCCTTATCTTAAAAGCCAGCATCCAGGTTTGACAGAAGAGACAAGGACAGCTTTCTTGCACTGCAAACAGGGAGTTCTGTGATGTTTTCATAGAGCATTGCTCGGAAGACAAAGCTTTGTGCCACACAGCAATGCAGATGAAAAAAGAAACAATCTGTGCCGTGTCTCTGCTCACTCAATTTCAGGTAAACAAGACTGTTAGCAACACTTCAGCTTTTCCTTTGCTTTGCTGCCAGTCAAGCTGTGATGAGTTTTCACAAGCACTGCCTGGCTCCCTCCTGACCACACCTGCAGCAGGGCCTGGCTGAGGATTCACCTGAGACAAGAGCACAACCACAGTGACAGAAAAGGCTCTGTGGCAGGATCACTGCTGTCACCGTGGCAGCAACCACCAGCCAAACGAGAACTGAGGTTCCTGCTGTGACTCACCGGGCACCCCAGCACTGAGAGCTCACAGCCAGCAGCAGGAGATGCCTCCCAGCCGTCACCCCACAGCACTGCAGTGCTGGGCACAGCTGAAAGTGCAAAGCAAGATTCCAGACAAAGCAGTCACTGTTTACAGCAGCTGAGAAGAGGCAGCCAGCTCAGCAAGCCTTGCTGTGCTGGAAACGTGGAGAGACAACATCCTCCTTGGCAAGGAACAGCACAGGCCAACAGTTCAGGCTCAAAGCCTGAAATAATTCAATCATTTCAACTTCTGCGCAGATAAACTCCTCCACACACAAATAAAAGAAACGAGAGAGAAATGAGGCAAAAAAACCAGGTGGGTGTGGGCAAATGAATGAATTTAAGCTGTGATTCCACAGAGCAAGCTGAGCTCCTGCCAGCTGAACCAGCACTTGCAGAGCAGCACAGCCCCAGTCCAAAGCTCACTGAAATCACCTGAGCCTCCTGCAGCAGCTGCACTGAGACCTGGGCCCAGCCCCTGCTCAGCATTACTGAATCTGCACAGCACATCTCAAAAGACTGACAGAGTTTCAGGAAAAGACTCCATATTTTTTCTCACATGTTCCATGCACCTCAGAGATATCATCCCATGTGAATTCTTGAAGGAAACAGCCCACAGCCTCAGAGATGGGATAAATGTGATGAAGTGCTTGGGGGCTTTGCCAAGTTGCTGATTAAAACAGGCCAAAGAAGCTGCATTTCATTCCAGCTCCCATGGAGAGAAAACCAGCAGGTCCCACTGCACTGCCAGCCCTAACACACACCTGATTTACTGAGCAGCACCAGAAGGCAGCTCCTGCCCCAGGACCATCTCAGACTGTCCTTTCTGGCACCTCTGGTTTCGTTTGTCTGCCTCACTCTGTCCCGAGGAGCCACAGCTCCTCCTCACAATTTCACAAATCCAAGCTTCCAGCTCTTCTCTCCACCAGAGCTGGCAACTCTTTTTTCCAACAGCACACTAAACCAGAAACAACAAACACGAGAAACTTTGCAACTTACTATACAGTTAAATTGCTACATTAAATATACAATTACCAGCCAGCATAAAACTTCCTCTTCTAAAATGCAATGTTTTCTGTGCTACTGTAACAACTCCACGCCCCAGTGCGATTTCATATGAATGAATTTCTTTCCTTTTCAGAACACAAACATAAAACGACTGTAAGGCAGCGCACAGACTGTTTGTTACTGTTTAGCTGATAAATCACAGCCGGACGTTATCAAACCCCAACAACGCTGCCTTTCAGGGCGGGATCCCCGGCCCGGCCCTCCCCTGCCGGGACAGAGTCTCACGAGTGCCGAACAGCGGCAGAGCCCGCAGCCGCCCGGCCGGGCACCAACCCGCGGGACCCGGAGCGCGCCGAGCCCGCCAGGGCCGGGCAGGAGCCCGGGACACCGCGGGCCGCTCACCCCGCGGACACGGGACGAGGAGGAGAGGAGGAAATGGAGAAGGCGAGGAAGAGGAGGACGAGGGAAAGAGAAGGAGAAGGAGGAAGAGGAGAAGGAGGAGGAAGCGGAGAGGGAGCAGGGGAATGCCCGAGCCCCCGGCCCGCCGCGCCCCCCGCCCGCAGCTCCGCGGGCCATTCCCCCTCTGAGGCGCGGCCCGGGGCGGGCGGGCCCCGCCGGGCGCGGGCGGCGCTCACCGAGGCAGAGCTCGCAGACGTATCCGTAGTAGGACCAGAGCAGGAGCAGCGCGATGAGCAGCACGGGCAAGACCTGCTCGGCTGAGCGGCCTGCGCGCCGCGGCGCCCCCTGGCGGGGCGGGCGGGGGCGCTGGGGCTGAGGGAGCCGCGCTGCCCCTCACAGCCGCCCGCTGCTGAGGCGGCCGCCTGAACCCCTGAGCTGTCTGAACCCCTGAGCTGCCTGAACCCCTGAGCTGCCTGAACCCCTGAGCTGTCTGAACCCCTGAGCTGCCTGAACCCCTGAGCTGTCTGAACCCCTGAGCTGTCTGAACCTCTGCTCTGCCCTGCCATGGCCCTGGGCTGGGGACGCGCTGCTGCCCCTCTGCTCAGCCCTGGGGCTCCGCAGAGCAGCACACCCGCGGCTGCCGAGGGGATGGAGCGTCCCTGAGGGGAAGGCTGAGGGAGCTGCGGCTCGGCAGCCTCGGGAGGAGACGGCTCATCCATAAATAAACGTCTAAAAGGAGGTGTCGGAGCATGCAGTAGGCTCTGCTGCGGGGGCCCAGCAATGGCACCAGAGGAATTGATGCTTGGGAAGTTTCAGCTGGACATGAGGAAGAGCTTCCCTGGCAGTGCCCAGCCCTGAGCAGAGAGGCTGGGAGGTCTCCTCCCTGGGAGGAGCTGTCCGGACACCATCCCGTGCCCCGTGCTCTGGGATGGCTCTGCTGGAGCAGGGAGGTGGCACCAGATAAACCCAATGTGGTGCCTCCCCTCCTGAGCATCCTGGACCTTGTGGCACTGTCCTGTCCCCTGCACAGACAGCAGCCTGGCACTGCCTTCAGTTCCTTCAGCACACACCTAGGAGTGTGTAAACATACATACATACATATACACATATACAAGTGAATATATATGTAATATTCACTTGTTACTATGGAATAGCCATGGGAGGATCAGATTCCACACACCTCATGGAACAAAAGGAGTGCCCACTCCAACATGGCATTTAATGTACAAAAAATAAAACAAAATAAACTTGTTACTATGGAATAGCCATGGGAGGATCAGATTCCACACACCTCGTGGAACAAAAGGAGTGCCCACTCCAACACGGCATTTAATGTACAAAAATAAAACAAAATAAACCCCCCTGCCCCAGAGTGCTCCACAACCCCCTCTGAATTTTGGCAGGAATCTCCTCATTCTCACTCTCAGTGATTTGAGTTGCAGCTCCAGGTAATTAACTCCACTCTATCATGTCTGGTAAGGAAATTAGTTTTCTCATCAAGAGAACGACTTCTCTGGTAGAATGTTCTTCTGATAAACCCCTAGTATAATTTGTGACGCTTTCTGGTCACCTCTTTGTTCAGCAAGGTTTTTTTCCCCTCAGAATTTGTTCTAAAACTTCCCTTATTGGGATCACATTCAGAGCTGTGCTGCCTCTACCAATCCTTTTCTCTTTTTCTCTCTTTGTGGTGCCTGTGGTACACCCAGGCACCACAAAGTCCTCAGACCACACCTGTAATTCCATATTTAGCTCTCTCAATATTTTAAGATGGATATGATCTACAACCTCTGGGGTTTTTTTGAAAAAATCTGTTCTCTACTGAGGTGACAGCTGTCTTAACCTCTTCTCTACCCTGCTCAGGCTTTACAATCAGTATTATCCTCTTCTCCAGACTACTCAATTCTTTCTTTAATATAAAACTTGAACTTTTTGGTACTTGTTTTAATTTTCTGTGTGTGGCTGAACTTAACCAAGATTTTGGGTAGCCCCTGCTGTCCAAAAGTGCCTTGGACAACACAGGTTGGCCTGAGCTGCATGTGACCCTAAACTAGAAATTGATATTTATTTTTACATATATACACACCCATATGAAAACCTCCTCCCAGGAGATTCAGGAAGGGGATTTAGAACACAAACACCCCAAGTTTTGAGGATTCAGGGGAAGAAGATGTGAGTGCCCCCTTGCTTTCCTTCCTCCCCCCACTACATAAGTGCTGAGGAGGAATATTTTTGCCAGCAATACATTTTATAATCATTAAGATTTAAAAATCACTCTTGTGAGTTAGATCACTCCCTGAAGCAACTCACAGAATCTCCTCTCCTGAGCCAGATGGGAACAGCACATCCATGGGACATTTTTCCTGCATGTTCCTGTAAAGCAGGAAGGCACCTTCCCAACAGACAGCAAAGAACAGGCAAAAGTGAGCAGACTGTGTCAGGTAAAGCCTCTGCAAATAAAGTTAAGACTTTTTCTTTTGTTCAACAGCCAGTTTTTCTAGGCTCTCTAAGGTCCACATGGATCATCCTCAAAATTCTTGTTTCCTGGGCTTGCAGGGGACACTTAGTTATAGAAACACGAGCTTATCTGAGGTGAGATCCCCAAATACAGCTCTTTAAAACAAAAAAATCAGGTGACCTTAAATCGTGTGATTCTTAGGATGTTTTTCTGCACTTGTGGTTCTGCTGGTAGCTCCCCATTTGAAAAATCTGGAGTGAGATGTAAGTGGGATAAGGCACCTTGTGCCCTTTCCAGAAATCAATACTGCATGTGTTATTCAAAGTAAATATTAAATCTAAACTGACCTTCAGCCAATTGTGAAAGGAAAGAAAAACCTCTCTGGGTGTGCAGTCTGACTGGGCTCCACAGAACTACAACAGTGAGATTATCCTAATTAACATCCCTATCTTTAAATTTAACCTGACCATGAGCAGTTTCCTGCTAAGACACATTTCACACAGCTTTCAACAGGGAGAGGAATTCTGCAGAGTTCAGCAAGCTGTGACTGCACTCACGGTGTAGCTACACTGTCCAAAACTGCTGCCACAGACTGCAGGAAAAGCCCCAAGTCCCAGCAGCTTGAGGGTAATTTAAATAAGGCTCATTATCACTGGTTCTTCTGGAGAAACAAATGGCTGGGTGCTTAAAGGAAGGAAGATGGTGGTGACTCACCAGTGGCACTCTGGACACCAGGGAATGTCATCCCCAAGGGCTGAAGACCAAGGCTGACAGCTGCTAGGATGGCTGTGGCACTGCTCCAAAACCAGCTAAAATAAATCAGGAAACAGTAGAAATCAGGAAAGAAATGCCAGTGTGTACAATTGAAGAAAACCCTACATGTACAAATTTCACTGAGATGCTCTTGCCTGTGAGAAAATGCTTTAAAAATCATTAATGGTAGAAAATGCTCAATTGTCCTGTTAAAAAAAAACCACAACTGGAAAATGCAGTTTGTCTTTGCAGTGCTGAATGTGAAACTGTGCTTGGGTTAGTCTGAATTTCAAAATTATATTCTGATTCAAAAACCAAAGTTGCACAAGTTACTTCCCCACTGTTCATTTCCAAACTTGCTTGAGCTGGTGACACACGAGCCTTGGAGCTGTGGGGAAAGTGAGCTGCAACCCCTGCAACCTGCAGGGAGCCACACCTTGGGCAGAGCCAACTTTTCCAACTACTCTGAAGCCAGGGCATGTAAAATAAAGGAGTGACCCAATTATCAGACATATTTTTATCAGGGTAGGTTACACGTGGTTTTGCTTATCAGTGACAGAGATCCAAGAAGATCTGATAATCCATGAGCTAAAATGGGAACTAAACCCAACCCTGACTGGCTCCTGAGCTCCTGCTGAGCTAAAAAAGCTTGTGAGCCCCAAGGCTGGCCCATTTTTGTCCTTTATTGTAGGAAAACACAGCAACCCTCCCTATCTCAGTCCCATCTTGGCCTTTCTCACATTGTACTTGTAGATAAGAGGAATCTCATCTAAAATGCTCGATGTTATCGTATCAGATTTGGGCTTTCTCTCAGAACTGCTGCAGCCCAGAGGAGCCAGGCAAAGCTTTCCAGAGCTTGCACTGAGGATTGGTACTGAGCTACCAGCAAGCTTATTTTTGTTACAAGCATTAAGAACTCTCCACTATGTGGGATAAGCCATCACATTTACACATTAGCACCTTCCCAGAAACCCCAGGAAAAGCTAGTTTTTGTTATTTCAGCAGGATTTTGCAGCTCTGTGCTGGGACTCCTGCATTTCACGGGAGTTTGTGCACACACACAATGGTCCTGTGCACACACACAATTTAAAATTTTTTAATTTATCCATACAACCCATGGATGCTACCTCGCAGTGGAGAAAGTCAATGAGGAAACTGCTAGCACATACTCATGTTAATCAGCAGGGCTCTAATGAAGCAGGTGGAGCTTTGTTTGAACATTCAGTTTTAACGTTTCTCTTCACCTCTCAGACAAAAGTTAGATTTAGACAATTATCCTTCCATTAATATGAAACCAAAGTGGATTGACTTTTTTCCCTTCAGGTTTCTCAGATTTTTTTGTCCTACCCAGCAGCAGCAGCCCTGCCAAGCTGCACACGGGGTGTTGTTTGCTCTTAGTCATCACCTGCATCTGCCCACTCCGATTTCTCATTTGTCCCATCCCCCACTGGAACATTTTATCCTAATTTAACGTGGAAATACGAGCAGGATATATGGAGTGTGCAACAGGGTCTGACAGCACAGACTGCAATTAAAGCTGTTTAAAATAGCACAAAACTGTTAATTGCCACCGAGTGAAAAATTGGCCATTTGCAGCAGAATTGTTCTCATTATTACACAGTTTGAAAGGATTTGTAAGGATTTAGGGACGCACAGGGAGCGAGTGCTGGCACCATTAGGGGGTGCTGGAGTCCACACAATCCCAATCCACATCCAGCCCCATCCAGTTCCAGAGCTGCTCGTTCTCCTCAGGGACAGCAGAGTCTCAGGAAGACAAATCTGGGGATGAAAAACCATAATCCTGTTTTGTCACGTGTATAAGCCTTGCCCAAATATCCACTGAAATATTTCCCCACAGCTATTGTCTTCACAGACCCCACAAAGACTCACGTCTGATCAAATGCACTTAAAAGGTAGATTTAGGTTAAAAGTGCCATGAAATATCATAAACCTGACATTTCCTATTTTCTAAATTCTTCATTTTGCACCCTAAATAACATTATTCTAGTAAGACAGCTGCTATCTATCTTTTCATACCTTTCAAAAGCAAAACATTAACACAAATATCATTCTACAGACCTGCAGCCAAGCTGTCTTACTCATCCCTCCTCTTCTCCTGGGCTGACCAAGTGAATCCTGAATTTCTCTCACGGCCATTTGCTATTTGACATTGGATTAACCACAGCAGTTGGCACTGACTGACTCTACTGACCTGATAGAGGGCTCTTTTTCCCTTGACTCTGTGAAGAATAAAGGCCTTCCTCACATGAAAGAGAGCTATGGAGAGAAACTTCACATCCAGAGAGGTTCCTCTGTGATGTCTTAAATCTCTGTCTTTTCAGCCAAAAGAGCCTTGTCCCACCTGACTGCCTCAAGGGAAGGGATGGGATGAATGCTGGGACAAATCCTGAGTTGCTACAGTGGTTAAAACAGTCTTGGAATCACAGATTTTAGGTTGGAAAAGACCTTTAAGGTTGTTGAATCCCACCAGTCCCAGGTGAGTGTGTGCTGCTGCTCCTCTGGGCTACACCACCCTCTGTCCCTGAAATGTTTGTGCACAGAAAACCCCACGAGGGGAACACAAACAAGAGAAAATTCTGCTTTCCAGTGGTTTCAATCAGTGCAGCTCTCCAAAAGAAGCAGGAGCATCTCCCAAGCCCCAGGGCTCCACCAGCCCAGGCCCCTGCAGAACCTGCAGGGCTGCAAACCCTGACTTCGGTCCCACAGAAGTGGGAGCAGTGTCTGATGAAATAAATATGACAGAAATCTGCTTTTTTGACTCAGTTCCTCCATGTTTCCCATCCTTCCATGTCTGTGAGCACTACAGCAGGATACCCAGTGTCTGGTTTCTGAAATAGCTGCCTTCTATAATTAGTTTTTTTAAATCTGTGTCTTTTTCAAACACTCCCTGATATCTTTTTTCCCTCACATTACTGACTTTTGAAAGTAGATAAACACTCTCCCAGCCAATTTCTTATTTCCTTATCTTTTAAAATAACACACTGTGGGGCTTGTAGTCCTCTGAGTGTGGTGAAGCTTCAGCAATATTTTTTTAAATTTAAGTCTAGGCCATCTTTCAAGAATGAGATGTACACGGTAATGTGATTTCTTAGAGTTATGTTTTAAGCCATAAAAATAAATATGCAGTCTCAGAGATGCAGAGAAGAAAGCGACATTTTTGTAACCTCACCACATTTTGTAAATTTTTTTTTTTTGCAAATCTTGGTTTTCTGTGTACCTGGTGGCCATGATTTCAGAGTTGAACAGCAGTGCTGAGTGCAGCCAGGCAGCATATGCTACGTGTAATTTTTTAATTTCCTGGTAGCAGCAATTCTTACAGGCACAATAGCAGGTTTGTTTATTTTTTGTTCTTCATCAACCCTTTTATTAACATTGTTAGATCTCCTGACTGCACCTGGCTGGGCAGTGACTGAGCATAATGGCATCTTTGCCCTGGGCTCTTGGAGACAGTGCATATGGATGGGGAAGGCAGCAGATAATATGGATGCAAATTTCAAATTACTGGTTTTATCCCCCAGGCACTGAAGGAGGAAAAATCTCAAGGAAATCAGGAGAACAACGTGGCTTTGAGTTTCTACTCAAGGTATAGACTTGAAAACACTGCTCGTGGTCCTTGCAGGACTCTCCTCTGAAAACAATGAAACATGAATGAATTTCAGTGAGGAGAACCTGCGCTGTGACTGAAAGCTCAGGCCCGAGGCAGAGCAGCACAGAACTGGGCTTGCCAGGCAGAGCCTGAGGAAGAGCCTGCACAGGATCAGGACACCAGAAATCCAACCCCATGGTCCTGCTGATGAGCCCCTGGCACAGAACTCTCATTTAGACTAATCAGGGCAAGGAGGAGCCGTCCTTAATCAGCCAAGGGGGGCATTTTCAGCATTTGACTCAAGTTCTCTTGCCTACAGAACCACTCATATGGAAAAAGCAACTGTCTTTTTCTATTTATGTAATTTTGCCTTATCTTCCTGGAGTTTTATTTTTTTCTTTAAAAGATTTCACACCCTCCATGTCCCACGGGACAGAGCTGGTGTGACTCCAGCAGTTCACTGCTCTTCAGGCTCTGAAAGTAAAACACAAACTGAACCTTCTGAGCTGATTTCTCAGGTTTTGCACTTCCTGAGGCACGGTCTCCTCTGGAGCAGCAGTGTCCATTCCTTTAGTACAATGATAAGTGCTGCAGAAATCTCTCAAAAATCCTGCTAGCATGAAAGAGAAATAAGCTTTGGCTTTAGACACCTTTTTGAAATCAGTGCCATCACTACTGGGAATGGATTTTCTTACTCCTTTTTTCACAGATCCATGCCCATCTCCTGAAGGATGCTCCACTCTCATTCACACCTGAGCTTTCCTCCAAGCTTCAGAATCTGTGTCAGTCTGGTGATCAGTTTGAAGAGAGAATTAATTAAATTGGATTGCTAGAATGAATTCCACAATACTCTGGGAAGTCTGATATTTGTAATCAACTATGGAACTGTTGCTAGGACACTGGAATTGTTGATTTTTTGGCAAAAAGATCTATTCAAATATTTGCCTTTCTAAAGCTATGAATCCAAGATATACAAAAGTTTAGCTGGTCCTGTGAACAATTTTTTAGTGTTTTCATTTATAATATATTAACTCCTGACTCAGAAAACATATGGAAAAGCCCACAAGAATCTACTACTATATGTGTAAGATAGATTCCTAAAGAGAAACAAATGATAGCTGATGAATTGTTAATTCCATGACCTTTTTCCTCTGCTGTCCTATCCAAGAAGAAAGGGCACATAGAAGACAATATCTATTAAGAATGTTAGATTTAGTTTACACATCTGACAGTAACACATCATCCCCCACAGCATACAAAGATTTATAACATTGAAATATAAAGGACTTGGTGATAGAGCTTGTACCACCTTAACCAGAGCCACTGCCCCAAAGTTCAGGGTTTACTCCCAGTTTTACCAGGTTCTTTTTCTCAGATTCCACTGTGGCCCCATGAAAAACCCTGAGCAGTTCTACTCGCTCTCCAGAGCTCAACTTCAATTACTTTCAGAAAGTTTTCTCACCCTTAATTGTCATTTATCCAAGCTATTATTGTTTAATCCTTTAATCTCTTGTCAATCATGACAATCTTCCCCTGTGTTTTTCTTTTCACAATGTTCAACCACCCCAGCAGTGACAGACAGACCCCAGCATGACTGTGGTGCACAGAGGGAAACATTTCCTAGTGGGAATCATCTCAGAATGTGTCTTCTCAACTGTGCTCAGCAGACTCTGCATTGCTCTGTCCATAAAATTCCAATGGGTGAATTGTTCATTTTTCTACATTTTAGAGATAATATCCATTTTCTTCGTTATTATTATTTTGTCTTCAGTTCCAATACATTTCCTTTGCTGAATTTCATTTCATCAGACATTTCATTGTCTGATAGAGACTTTGGGGTAGAGAAGCTGGAGGTGTAGAGCAATCCACAATTGATGAGGTCCAGCTAAAGCAATCAGAAGAAAGGACCACATTATCCACATGGCTTTATTTCTAAACTTATTTTTAGCTGGCAGAAAGTTGGTTGCAGAGCAAGTGATTCCCAAACTATTATTTAATTCTTCAACTCTGTTTCTCCATCACCTTTTTTCCCTTGTTCTTATTCCATTAACGAGCTACTAAAGAAGATTTGGTGAGTATTGTGTAATTTAAATTGTTCTCTATTCCTAGCACATGATTTTTCTCTTCTGAGCTGCCATGGGGTCTATCTTAGCTTCAGCAAATTCTATTCACTGTGATACAACTGAGTCCATCAGCGATGAATGTTTTGTTCTCATTGTTATGAATCTCCAATAAATCCATTTCACACAAAACTAGGACACTTTCAAATATCTGACATTGTCACTTTTAGCCTTCAATGTACAAAAATATATAATAATAGTGCAGTGGCTGCTGCTGGTCAAACCCACCTTGGACAGCCCACGTCCCTTTTCTCTTTGCCTTTCATGAGCTCCAGCTCCTCTAAACTGTGACTGCAAGGGATGTGATGGGTGTTGGGAAGGATGGCTGATGACCCTGAGAAAAATGCAATTTATTGTCAATTGTCCATTCTAATCTGTGGGAAAAACAAAATAATTTTCTTGAAATGCTGTGTGAAAAAAACAAGTTTTGGCCCCGAATATTCAGAACATAATCTAAGCACTCGCTTTGCTCTTGCCTCGCAGCGCCGATGAGCCCCCAGAGTGCTCATAAATATTGGCAGAGCAAAGGAGGCAGGGTTCTGCCAGCTTTTTTCCTGCTGAATTGTAGTTAGTGTTTTTAACACAGCGATACATAACAACGCCCTTAATGCTGCTCCTTGGAACTTCGGCCTGAAATTCTGGTTCAACTCACTGAGGTCCTAGGACATGGAGATCAGCTGGAGATATTGCTGCCAAAAAATAGTTAATGCATGTGCTGGTAGACCCCAGGAAGGGGGGCCTCTGCATTTCAAACAGCTGCTCTTCAACTGGAGCAGGAGGAGGGGGAAAAAAAGAGGTTTTGCACTTTCCAGTTTTATTCACTTTTGTTCCATGTACATCAGTGAAATTTGCATTAAAATGCAGAGTTCGAGGTCCCAAAATTCTAAAATTCCTATAAAACCAGTTTTTGTGTCTGTACCGAGCTCTGTTCAGACTGAGACGTCCATGGAAGAATGTAGTTGACACATACTGCAGACATATCCTCCTAAGACATCACAGAA